AATTACTTTTTTCTACTCAGCTTAGCTTCTACTAGGAATTCTATCTGTAGGTGTTTTATTTTCTTATTGTGGCTGTATAATTAGTGGCTATGTAAATGGGAACTCTATCAGAATATCATTCCTGTCTATTAATGTTTTCAGAAAATAAAGTAAAAACCTAGAGTTTACTACTAAGACCAGAGATTTTGTGGTTCTTTAATTTTTCTATAATTCCCTTTTAGTCTCTTTATCCTGAATGACCCCTATATTTTTGCCTTCACATTTTTTTTATTCTTAAATGGTAAGTTTAACTGTTTAACAATTTTATGGAGCAGATTATCAAATAATTAAGATAGAGAATCGATTATCTAAAAGCTTACTTGATACAAAGACTAATCTTATTATTATATTTTAACATAGTTCCTGCAAGCAACAATCCGAGCTTAGCACATAAAGAAAAACTTGACAATTAGCAAGCCAAACACAAAGTAGCCAAGTAACAAGCTTCCTGAGATTTAAACTTATGATCTCCTCTAATACCATGTGAAATGATTAAAGTGAATAATTATTTCCAAAAACTTAAGCTCATAAAAAAGAGTTTAACTTTATTACTTGTATTCTAACATACATATACAATCCTTTAACAACTAGTAGCAAATAAAAGGCCTCCAATTCTTGTTGCATGAGTACATTGTCATCCGTTAATTACTAGTATGGTACATTTCAAAGCATGTGTCAATAATTTTTTTCTACCTACGAGATCAAGTGGTGTCTGAGTCAATTTTACACGCAGTTCAGCTAACCCATCTCTCCCATCTGGTCAAAAAATATCATCTACGCCACGACTTGAGAATTATAAAGAAATTAATTTCTCATATGCCTGCCAAGATCAAACCCCAGGTGGCCACTGGGAGCACATATAATAACCACTTGACCTACCCTTTTGCTGACAAAAATTATGAATAGCATGAATTTGCAGCTATAAATTGCAGTATCATACTAAAGATGATAAAGAATGTGTCTGCTACAATGACTATTCAAACAAATTTTTTTATTGAACTAAGTTCTTACAGGAGGTCCTTCATCACAAAACTCAACCAGCCCACGACCAATCAAGTTACCCTGTGAAAAAAGATTGTAAAGAATGTTAATCAAAAGGCAAAAAGTCTCCACAGAGAGAGAAAATTTCAAACTTGAATGTAGAAATTAAATGAGAAAGACATTACACTAGACATCTCTAAATATAAAATCAAAAGCAACATCAGAAGAAGTTGAATTGTACCATATAAACTAGGTCGTACATATGTTGATTAGTCCCTCAGCTGTAGAAGGAACTGGTGAAGGAAAATCTGAAATTATAGGCTACATAAAATTTTCTAATTACCTGAGAAAGTCCAACTATGTTGTAACCCTCATTGAGAATGCTCATACTTTTTACCTGTGAGTTGAAATGGACACATTTTGGGACTGAGTTACTTTAATGCAAAAAAAGAAATAGGAATATGTCCTGCCAGGTAGCTTAGTAACCTTCTCACACGCAATTTCTGTCTGCATACCACAAGATATATGGTGAAGTATCATTAGATTACTAAAATAAGCAAAACTGTAGATTATAGGCATTCCTCATAAAATCAGTTGACATTACCTGCTCCATGAGGGGCATGGTCCAGGAGTCCCATGATCCATTTCCAATTTCTCTATAAAGATAAAAGAAAAGACAAGATAATTCAGAGATTTAGTTCAGTGGATTTGAAAAATAGAATTTTCCTTAAGACTAGCTTGACTGTAAAAAGGGTGACTACACAAAGCAACAAAAGCTGCAGGATAGCTTAAGGATGTTTTCTGTAAATAGAGCTTGTAAGCAGACTAAGCTAAATGAAACCTCTTCATGTCTAGGTGACTAGAAGTATATAGTCCTGAACAATTTAGCTATTGTTTCATGTTAAATATAAATCGATAAGAGTACGCTAAGTAGCCAATTTAACACAGCTTCCAACTGTCTCTTCCTACAAGGAATCCTAATCTTATGAGTCAATTCATTTTGTCTCTAGAGCTATGGAACAGGTTGGATCACCAACATATGAATCAGACTATGGGTTGGGAGAGACCACTAAACTTAAAAAGGAAGGTATATATGTATAACATATAAACAACTATAGAAACAGTGCATACAAGCAATATCCTTGTGAACCAGTCCAATTGCTCAAAAGCTCAGTGAACTGTGTGATTCCTTGGTTGCTGCATTTGTCACCAATACCTGTCGAATAACGCACACAGAACATCAATATTGGACAGCAGAAGCTTATTTATATACTACCATCTATTAAAAGGCAGAATCTACAGCCTGCACTATGAATAAAATTGCAATTAGATATTTAGAGAAATTGAGTCCTATTTAAGAATTGGAAAGAAATTTTCATTAAATTTATATTATTCATTTGTTAGAAAAGTATAATGCACTACTAAGTTTTAAAGATGGAAGGTGAATTGGTGAACCAGAGCGATTAATCACTTCTTAGGTATCTGCTGCTATTACAACTGAAACTGGCAATAAGTTAAAAGTTCTCTTGACCATCCAAAAAAAATATGTAGATCTTGCAATTTAAAGCCCAAACCAACCCCGGTATGGTTAAGTCTAAATATTTTCTGCCACTTGTTAGTATAGGAATAGCAACCTGCCAATTACTGTTTGCAAATTTCAAGTTTTAGATGAACTTACTGTCCTCAAAAACACATTGGTCGTTATCATACGCCTTACTGATTTTCAGGAAACTTAGTTTAGAGCATTCTTACATCTCATGGAAGAAAAATGATCAAGGAGATGTTTTCTATTTTCCACGAACTTAATTACAAACGCAACATAATTACGTTCTATTTATTTTGATGAAAGAGCTAACGAATGTTTTTATTTGCATGTTTCTCTTTCTCCAGAAATGAACACTCTATTAGTTTGAAGGAAACGAACTAGAACCTAATATCAGCTGAAAAATAATGTAAGAAAATTTTGTTCTTACAAATCTAGCCACTGTCGTTTCATACAGAAAGCCGAAATACGCGGGATTGATTAGTCATAAATCTTTATATAACACGAGTTATTCCACTAGAATACAAGAGGAAAATTCAATTCATACTTTCATCTCCTGGATTTTATTTTTGTCTGTCCTCTCCAACACTCCTTAGCAACCTAGGAAACCAAACAGTGACTCTATGCATTCAACGTCTAGAAAAGAGGAAAAAGGAAAAAGGAAAATTACAGGTAATGTAACAAAGAAACAAGAGATCACCAAAAGACTAATACATAACAAAGATGAAAATGATCATACGAATTCCAGATTCCAATAACAACCACGATTAAGTCCAATGAGTTGCAGAGAATAAAAAGAAAAAGAAAGAAGATAAGAGATAAATACCATGCAAAACCACGAAAGGAAGAGAATAAGTGAGCGGGATGAAGATGGAGATGATGAGAATCGAAAAGGTTAAGGGAAGCATTGGAGATTTTATCTGTATATCCAGGATCTTGGGATGAACCAGCAGTTTCTTCTTCAGGATTCACAGACACGACGAAACCAACCTTTCCATTTTGAGAACTTCACTGGCTGCGGGGGTTGCTTCCAGAGCACGAGTGTTGCTACAGCTAGCCCTTTATTTGTCACGCTCGCATCAACACGTGGAGCCACGCGCCATGATTAATTCTTTTAATTTTTTTTTTTGCCATAATTTTTATTTTTAAAATCTATATATTTATTTATCCATGATTTTAATTATCAACCAAAAATTAGTTTGTAGTAATATTTATTGATTGAATTTTTTTAGATATGATTCAAGGAAGTGGAACAAATAGAAGAAGAAACACAATTGAAGATTAAAGAGTAATTATTTTTCATTTCATTGCTTATATTAAAAGTCTCTTTAATATTAAGTGTCAATATATTTTGGAAAACAATATTTGAAGAAAATGCAAACCTTGAAAATCCTATTTAAATTTCTTTTAATTATTAAAAGTTTATTTGAGCTCTTCTACTAATATTTTCAAGTGTGAAAATATTTTGAAGAAATGATATTGGATGAATTTATAAAGGAGGCTAAAATTTTTTCAAGTAAAAATATCTTTTATACAATAATATATTATACAATGTACTGCAATAAAAATATATTCATAAATATATGGAGAATAACATTGAATTTAAATATGTCATACAATATATTATGATAAAAATATATCAAGATATGCCACTAAACTTTAATGTATTGTACAGTACGTCATAACAAAAACACATTCAAAAATACATCAAAAGTTATTTTTGAACTTTAATACGATGTAAACCGTGTTTCAAGACTAATATTACATTATTGAAAATATTTTTGAGAGAGCCCAATGCTTATTTCTCTTTTTAGCCTTTAGAAGACTTACATCTCCTTTATTTTGAAACAACTTTTAGGGGAGACAAACTTAGAAATCAAATGAGAGGGTTTTTGTCCCTAACTTGATTCTCCTTTATAATAATATTCCGAAACTTCTTTAAATTCTTAGCTATTACTTTATCTATAATTTTTGAAAAAATTATTTAAAGAAATCAAGGGTAAAGTTCTATTTTTTATTTATTAATCCTCAAATATGCATTTATTTGTATATTCATTCTTTAAGAATGATTTTGCAAGAAAATCTTCCAAAAAATTCTTTAAATTCTTATATATTATTTTATTCATAATTTTTGAAGTTTTTAAAGAATTATTTTAGAAA